AATGAGGTCAAATGCTCCGCAACAGAACGTTGATTTTCCAGGCTAAGGGGCGAGTAATGTCATTTCGGCTACAAAATACAATTTTCATGGCCCTTGCTTTTCCGCCAATTGAGCTTTATAGTTTTTTTTTTGTTCCTACTTTCTATAGTCTGCTGCAAAACCACTTTGCTTGGTAGGCAGTTTGAGCCTTTATTGAAAATCCTTAGCTCTAAGTAGATATCTCTCATTCCAGGAAGCTTTTTGTTTCTCATATTTTCGCGTTTTTAATGTCGCCGGAAATTCATAGAGATCTTTGAATTCAATTCTATGTAACACGAGAAGGTAAAGGCTTGCTGGATGACTGTAAGAACTAAAGAGGTAGTTTGAAAATCGAAAAACTGGTTGAGATTTATAAGACCAGTGTTCAGTTACAGCATTTGCCTTTATATCATTGAAGCAACATACATTTTTTTTCCATAAAACGCAAATTTTTATTATATTTTGACACTACTTATAAGATATTCCTATTTAGGTACATACATATGTACATATGTACGTACATAGCATACATATGTATGTATGCAGCTATAAGTGACAAGTTATATAAAATAGATCAATTAAAATGAGCAAGGGTAAGTCTGTAAAGTTTTCTTTGACGCAATGAAACGTAAATTATCTAATTTTTATTTTAGGCTGTGCGATAATATTTCGCATGAACTCACAAACCAGACACAATTAACACGAACACATCCATATAAGCACACATTCTCGCAAATACTCGTAATAATTCCACACATTTACCTACTTAAAACTTATAGTGAAAATTGATGAATACCAAACACAAAAGTCCGCAAACATACATACATATGTACATACACACGCAAACGCGCTCAAATACATACAAACACAATGTGCGAAACCAGAAGCAGTCCTCTCATACTTAGCGCTAAAGCGCAGTTTTAGGCGCTGTAACCCTGACTCTTAGTCTGTATGGGAATCATGATTGTTGATGTCCAGAAACACCCACACGCTCAGGCAATCGCAAGCGCCACCAAGCACAGTAAAGCCATATTCTTTGATTGATTGCGCGCAGTTGGTTCGTTGGTTAACGGTTGTGCGGACACCCACCCAAACACACACACATACGCAGCTATACATGTAAATGTAGTGGCAGCAATTCATGCTCGTGCACCCGTATTGGAATATGCGTTGAATGCATTTTTTTACGTACAAAGGTAGATTAATGTCCTTTTTACTATATTTTATTTCTGTTTTTTTTTTTTAATAGAATGTATTTATTTTTTAATTTAATTTTTAATATCTAAATCAGAATTAACTTTTTAATACAAACATTTTAATTTGCTCTTTGCCTCAAATGTAACGCTAATTGTGATTTTAAATTTTTCTTTTTTTGCCTAACATTTAACTCTTTGTAAAACTTATTATTTTTAAATGAATTCACTAATCACAGCAAACGTATGTAACCTGACTGATGTTTTAATGTAATTTTGTATATATTGAAATTGAAAGTAAATAAATTTGCAAACATATTAATCATAAATTAGTAAATATTTGTTTAAATCTGAACGTTGTAGTAATTTTTTGTTCTTTTTATCTGATTTTGTTTAAACCCAGCTCCATGAAAATGCATTTTGGTTTTGTAAATTTAGTGCACTGAAAACTAATACTAGAACGATGAAAAAACATTTAACCCTCATCTAAAGCATAAGCCATAATCCTATAGGAATTTAGAAGAGGGGAAATCAATTTCTAAACAAGTCGATCAGGTGCGTTATTAAAACTAAGTTGGTTACATGGGGATTATTGGAAAGCCAACATCAGAGACGAGGCGGGGGAGGGGTGGGGGCGTAAAAAAGCGATCGATTATACATTTCCCGATTAACTGAATGTACTATTTTCCATTCTCTTAAACCCTTTTAATTAACTAATATACTGGAGGAAAATATATATTTACATATCGAAGGCTGTCAGCAGTCAGTTTGAAAACGCCCTATCTCAGAAAACTTGCAAGAACGCCCTACTTCAGAATTTGACTGACTTTTATTGAAAACGCCCTATCTCAGAATTTGGTTGAAGAACGCTCTATCTCTATTTATCTAAAATTCTAAAATAAGACGTTGTTGAAAAATTTGGTGAGGTTAGGCGTTTTCGAACTCGAGATAGGTCGATCTTCCACTCAAAAATATATATAATAATATTTATAAATATAAAAAAAAATAAGTAATCGTACAGAGAAAATTATACTCGTTTCCTTCATTAAATAAAATCATTTTTTTTTAGACTACCACGAAAGAGCTTATCTATTTTATGTATTTTTCGTGTCAATTGTAATTTGATTTGCTTATTAAAGATTACAGGTATATTATACTGTGTCAAATAGCAGGATTATTTTTTGCGGTCCAATATGTAAATTTCATCGTAGGTCAAAAAAAAAAATAAATAAAATGTGTCAAAGTTTCAGCAAGTATCTTCGTTTTTCCGTTTTTTTTTGACGGTATCAGTCAGTTTCGTCTGGTTAAGCTACGGCATACCGTTGATTTTATTTTCTTCCATGTAAAAAGATCGTTGAGCATATTTCGTATGGAAGAAAATGACTGACACCGTCAACGAAAAATATCTGCCAAAAATCCACGGTAAAGGCCTGTATGCAGCTCTCAAGAAAAGCAAAAACTCCATATAAAATGACGTACAAGAAATGGCTAAGAAATTTTCTTGAGTCAAATTTCCTTAAGGCAGTACGCAGTTCTTAAGGAATTTGCTACGCTTTCTACTACGGTTTTTAAAGTTTTTAGTGAAAAAAGAGCACAAGGCAACCCAGGTTTGCAACAGAAATATATGCCCGTTCCATTATTTCTTGAGGAAAGCTTGAGGCAACAGGCTATGAAGTATCAAAAATGTCAAAATTCCTTGGACACACACACGAAATAATGGCAATTTTTTCTAACCGTTTTCTTGAGAGCTGTATACAGGGCATAAGGCCGAGCTACTTCTTGCAATTTATTATACTAAAAGTGATTGGGCTACAAAGGATTGTTATACTTTTTTTGTTTTAGAAAAAAAGTAGCGGAACAAATTTTTTCATTGACGATTCAGAAAGAATATATGGCTGAAATTTTGCCACAATTTTTTTTTTTTTTTGAGAAAAAATAGTTATTTTATTTTACACAGTCAGGTTAGGTTAGGTAAGCGTGCTGCCTCCGCATGTGGGGGCACACTTGGACTCGACTAAGCTGTCCGTTGTGATGCCCTCAGAGTGGTAGGGAAAAAACGGACGCAGGGAGGGTAGGGAAAAGAGGGAGGAAGTTATGGGAGAAATATGACATGTACATACATAAATATTTGTATGCAATCTGCATTAAACGGATTGAAAAAGTATACAATTCTTTTGTGTTTTGTTTTGAGTTTGTGTAGAAAGTCGATTTTTCACTTATTATTTAAATAGACATTCGTTAACAGTCAAGAATAATTTCATTGTTTGTAAAAGCCTAAAAGTAAGAAAAAACTATAAACTATTTTCTGCTAAAAACTTTCAGAAAAATTTGCTGCTTATTTTTCCTTAAATTTATGTATATCGTCGTTTAAAGTACAAAACCGCGTATCGTCAGTCTGCAAAACCGGAAATGGGAGCAGGCTTCTCTGCCTAGAATCACCGCGCCTAAAACTAAATGAAACAAAGATTGTTGAAATTAATCGTCTTCGGTTGCGGTAACTGGTTAAATTGTAGAAGAAACTGGTGAATAAACTTTTGGTGTTATAAATTATTATTTCCTGTTTCCGAATTAGCCGCGTTCCTTTAATGGTCTGAAAGATGCTTTGCTTTCCTGAGGACACAAATCAAAGTATTGTTTGAGCATTTTTGTAATTGGAACTTTTCTGAGACTTACAAAGAGAAATCGCTATGCATATATGGTGGGAGTGGAAAAAGGTTCATATTTTGGATATACTATAAATTTTTGGTACAGTTAGGCTCTTTGTACGAAAAAGTATTTAAAAAAATTCCGAAATCCGGCGCACATTCTTTAAGATACTGAAATTTCACAAAAATAAAAAATTGAAATGGCGTGGGTTTTTAGGGACTCAAGAGTGTATATATATAAAAGAAATTGTCGAGCAAACTTTATGTGGAAGAAAATACGAAACACCGCCAGCAAAAAAAATTATTAAAAATCAACGAGATTTACTAGCGTCTTGAAATTTGCACTTAAAAACTTCTCAATAAAAATATTAAAATTTTTGGGTGTAACTGCTAAAGTTTGTTAAATTTTTATAATTTTTGTACGAAGTTTGAAATGTGAATTTATATGGTGCTGGTTATGTAATATGCTAGGCATTTATAAAAAAAATTATAAATATTCAATAAATAACAGAAAAATAACCAAAACTGGTCAAAATGTATCCAAACTTAATTAGCTGACCACAAGAGTACTCAGTTAGGTTACTCTGGTTCCAATGGCCTCATTTGTAATTGAAATAAACGCATTCAAGAAAAAATAAGGAATGCTAATTGTTTTACGCCCACATGCCTGAAGCTCTTGACGCCGTGCTTTATACAAAAATACTAATAAAATAAGAAACACAAAAAAAAAAAAATATTGTAAAAATAATTTGCGCTTGAATACTGCTGCTGTATTGCCAATCCTGCTCCGCTGCTGCTGCTTTCACAATTGCGTCGGCTGCTGCTACTAGACACATACATGTGTACATACTACATAAATACTACCCATCTCGGCCGCCACCTGCCAACGGAAATGATGAATAATTTTAATTTTGTACATAGTATAAATATTCGTATAGATATGCATTAAGGCGTTCATAATTTTTTTTTTATGTAAGCAAATGAAAAATTTAATTCTACTGAAGCTTGAAATATCTGCCGCGAGCATTTTCTTAGTAATTTTATACATACGTATGTACATATGTATGTATGTATGTATATGCTGTATGCCCACATTTACCTCGCAGTACCCTAATTGTGCGCTTTTCTCATTCTTTGTTTTTAGAATTTGCGTGGGTGACGCTGACAACGAATGACACGTACTCGCTGGGTGCTTTGGTGTTGGCACATTCGCTGCGCCGCACCGGTACCGCTCATCAGTTGGCCGTCTTGGTGACGCCTGCCGTGTCAGAGGCAATGCGCCAACGCCTACAGGATGTATACAATGTTGTGCAGGAGGTGAATGTTTTGGACTCACAAGATGCCGCCAATTTAGCGCTGCTCGCACGTCCCGAATTGGGTGTCACATTCACAAAGTTGCACTGCTGGCGCTTGGTGCAATTCGAAAAATGCGTTTTCCTCGATGCCGATACACTGGTGCGTCTCAGAGAGAGAGAGAGAGCTATGCAATGAAAAATAAACTTTTAAATGTATCTACTTTTCCACTTCCCTTTCCCCGTTTAGGTGCTGCAAAACAGCGATGAGCTGTTCGAGCGCGAGGAACTGTCGGCCGCACCAGATGTTAGCTGGCCCGACTGCTTCAACTCGGGTGTGTTCGTGTATCGTCCCAGCCTGGAGACATTCGGCAAAATCACAGAATTCGCTGTGCAAAATGGCAGTTTCGATGGCGGCGATCAGGGCTTATTGAATTTGTACTTTGGCGATTGGGCGCACAGCGATATTAAGAAGCATTTGCCATTCATCTACAATGTGGCCGCATTCGCTTCCTACTGCTATTTGCCCGCATTCAAACAGTAGGCAGTGTTTCGTTTTTTTTGCTATGAAAATAATTTTGAATGAAATTATTTCTTTTTCCTTAACGCCATTTTAGGTTCAGAGATAAAATTAAGATTTTGCATTTTGCGGGCAAATTGAAGCCATGGCTTATACAATTCAATTCCGAGAATCGCACTGCACTCACGCCCACAGAATATGCGCATGCCACCGATTTGATACAGCTCTGGTGGAGTATCTTCTGTGATAATGTTCACCAGAACTTGTCCGATAATATGGTGAGTGTTTTGAAAATACTACACATTTACATACATAAAGTTAAGTTTAGGCTAAATTTAATAATATTTTAATTTTAATTTTTATTTCTATTTTTATTTATGTTTGCCTAGCGTTCAACGCATTTTTCTAATATTTTAAATGCAGCTGTTTTTGCCAGTTTTTTTTTCAATTTATTTTTACTACACTAATTACTTAATTTATTAATTCAATTAATTTTTATGTTTGAATTTGTTGCCCGATTCTGAAATAATTGTCTAAAAACGCATTTTCGAAATTCCCTTACAAGTCTGCGCAAGGATTTAGTAGTGAATGTGAAGCTGTGGTGGTAAGATATGTAAGTCAATGCGATTTTTTTTTTTAAATTTTATTGAACTAATAGACATACCTAGAAATATATAGAGTTTTTAGAATAGAAAGCAATCCACTTGATCGCTTTATAATTGAATGTTGTACAGCAAATTTTTATGTTTACTCAAGTCAATATGCATTTGTATATAAACTAGAATAGAAAGGTAGCGGGTATGCATTTTTCCGTTGTAAATAATTTCAATATCAATAATATTTTTCGATGCCAAGAAATATTGAGTAAATTGTTTTTGTTTATTTTTTTTTTGTTGAGAGTAAGTTATTTAGTTATTTACATGCAATAATTAAATATAATTTTTTACCAAAGATCCTATTTCGAACTTCGAAGGCCCATATCTCGATTTCGGAGGCTAACTTCGAAAAACATAGAAATCCCTGTTTTACCTATGACTCAAACTTAAAAAAAAATTGGTTTGGCACAATACCAAGAAAAAAAGTTGATTTTACCGTACAGTGTTTTGGGTGGTCTTAATGTTGGATCCAAGTCTTTAAATACTTCAAAACTGTAACTGACGATAATGCCTGGTGTTTCAATACTCGAATACTCCAGCAATAGCCTCACTAGTTGTGAAAAAACCCGACAAGCAAAAACTTAGTTTCATATGTCACTAGTCGATGGCACATACCAAACAGGTGGCCACATCAACCTACCAGATAACTCTGGGGTATGAAATACCCGCCTCATCTGGCATACCCGTAGCATCTGACAGAATACATATTTATAAGATTTAAACATTTTCTGGTTGGAGGAAATTTCGACTAGTTTCGCTTAGTGGAAAGTTTCAGATTTCGTAAAGTTGAATTGAATAAAAATTAAGGTGCCTATACCAAAGTTACCAGATCCAAGGAAAGTGGATGGAGGCCATAATTAAGCACATAATATACCTAATTCGCCCTTTAGTTTTATTTAACCCCATCGGGACAACACCTTTCGGTAAATAACCTAGACGACTAAAACATTAACCAATCCTCGAATAAGTATTTCGTTACTTGTAACAGTTCCATTCTTCTCTTTTGTATTATTAGCAAGAGTAGTTTGTTGTTTTAGCGCCTACTTATCCCTGTCGAGATCCCTCACTTAAGCTTCAAATCGTTGTTAGAGAGCTAAATTAACGGTGGACCCAGGTAAAGGGCTGTTTCGGCGGGGTCGGCCCATAGGAAGAGAGGTTTTGGATGAGTCAACCTTTGCATACGACAGACACTTTAGTTACGATAGGGGTGAGTTTGGCCAAAATGTCTCGTGTTGTAAGCTACCAAAAGCTTTGGTTTTAGAGATTTGACCGTTTGTTTTTAGATATGGGGACCATTCCAATAATTTTTTGTCCGAATTCTACATCGTTATCTCCCTTCTCGACTACGTCTCCTCCACAACAAAAAAAAAATATATATAAAAAATAAAAAATTCTAAGGGTATTTATTATTGTATATTAGTCTCGGATTTGCACTTTAAAAAAATATTAAAAAAAAAATATTGCAACAGCGGACACAACAAATTCTTTGGGAAAATAAAAGAATTTTAATGCTGACAAAAATGTTTACTAAAAACAAAATAAACAATCATGGAACTTTTTTTTAGGTTTTATCTAGTGTTAGTGCTAATACAACTTTTTATTGGCTGTTAAGCAAATATTTGTCTGTGCGAACCTTTTTCATTACTTTTAGAGTAAATAGGTGTCAACACTTTGTACATCATTGGACTTTTCACTAAATAGCACAGATCGGCGCACACATAGCTAATGATTTGCTTTCGATTCTGTAAGCGTGTTGCACTAAAAATATACATAAGTACATATCTATGTACATTCATTCGCACAATGAGGTCAAAAGCTGTTTGGTTTTCTTCAATTAAAATTTTTAGTTGTTTATTTGTTTTTTTCTTTTTTTTTTTTAGTTTTGTGTGTAAACAATTTAATGCGTTGCCAATATTTTGCTATTGAATACACAAATAATTGCAATAATCGTTCGCTTTCATTGCTTTATATTTGTTTCTCATTTTTTTATTTTATTTGGCAATTTTGGCCCTCCACTTTTTGAAGAATATCCAGCTTTTGTGACCATAGTGATTAGCGTAAATATTTGATTTAGAAATTTAAATATTTATTTTCAATGAGCGCATCATTCGAATAGGCAAACAATCGAAAATAGTGCACAAACAGAATTTATTTCAAGTTGGTACTCTTTCGAAAAAAAAATATAGAAAAGAGGCTACAAATAATGATTTTAGTAAAACATTCGCATTAATGTTTGTGGATTTTACCAACATTAATGGAACGTCCATTCTGCAGTGACAAATGCATTTCTGCTAATTTTTTGCTTCATAGAGTGTCCATATACCCGTTACAAATTACCAAGTGCCCACATATACATGCATATGTGCTAATATGTAGGTGTGATTGTCTAATTTTCGTTGGCAATAGCCTAAAAACAAGTCATGGCCGCCACACCCAAAGCATTTTCCACGCATAATTGGCGCAGTCACTACAAAACAAATTTTTTATTTCAAAATTTTATGTTGATTTGAAAAATTGTCGATCTTCTTCTAGCTGTTTTCCATATGCATTTAAGTAAGATCATTCTAGCACTATTTTGGCGGATTGCCAAGGCAAAAAAGCGACTACATATACATATAGACATGTTTATTTATACAATGACTGCAAAATAGATTAAGGATAAAATACATATGTATGTGGATATGCATATGTTTGTTTGTAGGTGTTCTTATTTACCTACTTATGTATAATTGCTAGGAAAATTTTTGGACAAAAACGAATATAAAGGCCCCGCTGATAGCAAATATTTTGTTTTATTAAGTAAGCAAGCTCTCTAAAACAAGAAAATTTCATGGATAATTGGAAATATTTTTGAGATATTTTTTTCCAATTAATTCGACTTAGGCTCAGATTATGTTTTTGCACTGAAAAAAACGAGCTTAAGCTGATGATTTGTACCGAAAATCGAGTTGTGGTTTAAGTTCACTTTTTATAAAGAAATCCAATGGCTACCTAAACGTCAACTCTTTAAAGTAGACTTCATCTCCTGCTCCATACGACATGGATTTCTATCTGTTTATTCTAAAGCCAATGAAAAAGATGAAGGCGATGCCTTTAGAAAAATTTGGCTATATCGTTTTGTATCCGCCTGCTTGATTTCTGCAACGTTTTTTTGATGGCTATTTATAAGGTCGCATCTCTGGTGGGTATATTGTGATACGATATTTAGCAATAAAATCTACAATTTCAAATTTATATAGTCCATTTTCGAAAATAGTCCTTTAGTGTAACGTTCATATCTTCAAACTTATTGAAGCTGAAGACAATGTTAATAATGTTTTTGAACATCTAACAAAACGCAGCTATGCAGTAAAGTTTGAAAGCTACCATTTGAAGTTCATGGTCGGGTTACTTCCTCTCCAGTACGTTAGACTGCATCACCCATACAAAAATAGAAAACGGTACTGTGTTTTCATTGGAATTACAAAGTCTATTATGGAGTTTTTTTATTAATAAAAATAGTCTCTTAAAGATTTTTTTTTGGAAAAAATCCCCTCAAATGACTAAACGGTTTAAGCTTAAAAAACTTGCATGAAAATATTTAAAAAAAATTTAAAAAAAATTTTCAACGGAATCATAATAATTGATGATGCTGTTTTTTAACTTTTTTCAAAGATTGGTACAAGAAAAACTTGAATAACGGAACCTAAACTATTCCGATTTAGACTTGTGAGGTATTATTGGAAAGGTATATTTTATTTCTTTGCTAATAAACTCATTGAAAGGATGAAAGAGAAAGGTGGGATGAACGAGCGTCATTCCAAGTTCAATTAAGATTTGTTGGTTTTTGCACGAAAATAAAAAGAGTGGGAAAATACCTTTCTTTTGAGACCCCATAAGTCTAAATCAGAATAGTTTTAAAAAGTTTAAAGTTAAAAAAAAACAGCATCAAAAATCTCATTATTACGATTCCGTTGATAGGTTTTTAAATATTTTTTATGTAGATTTTTTGAGCTTAATCTGTTTTGTCGTCTGAGGGATTTTTTTTTTTAAAAAGTCGTTTAAGAAACTATTATTATTCATAAAAAACTCCATTTGTGGAGGTATTTCCCAATCGGTCCAGCTCACGTGAATCTTAATATTTTTCCGTAATATTTTGGTGGACGTCTTCAAATATAACTTTGTAATCCCGGCGGAAAAACCACAACCTTTTTTAGGCTATGTAGTCTAATGTACATATTTTAGCATACACAAATTTTTTCAAATAACTAAAAAATTTACTTTCCTCTGCTAAAAAAAGTTGCGCTCTCTCGAAGTTGAGTTTTGCCGAAATCTATAATAAAATCTGAGTTTTGATAACTTTAGTCCTAAAACTGCCTCGCCCATTTTTGATCGTTTGTCGCCTTAGATACAAATTTTCCGACTTCGATATATCGAGGTTTCACTGTAGTTTAAATTATGACTTGCTCCTGGGATATCCCCATGTTAATAAAGGCAGTTGCTTACAATATAAAAGGAAGAATTTAAACTAACAGTATTTATGAGGAAATTGTTTATTAAATTGCTTCTAAAGTAGTTGATTTTCCAACAGGGAACCTGTATTTCCATAGCTCAAAGGAAACAGACAAGAATTTTAGAATCTTGTTAGGTCATTTGTAATGCAAAAATTCAATGAACTACAAACTACGAAGTTACGTCAATCAAAACCCGTAGATAGAATAAAATACTTACCTATAACTGAAGGTGACAGCCGACGTTATTCAAATTAAAATTTTTAATAAACGTACAGCTTCATATTCAGGTGAAACGTCGCTTGCCCTGTGCTAATTGTATTTAGTCATAAAAATGTATTTACATGTAAGAAAAAAAGCATTTAAATGCATTTCTGCATGTTGTTGCTAGTTTAGTTATAGCTTTGTAATCATAATTTTTCTTATTTTATTTAAACTATTAACTACTTAGTACTAACTTTAGCTGAAAATTTATTTTTTATATTTTTCTAATACTAAACATGGCAAACAAAAATCCCTAAAACAAATTAAAAATTACTCCAAAATTGGATATTTGATTTAAAAATATAAAAAAAAATTTATTTGAAATGCATTCACGCTTTAATTATGTTAATGGCATATGCTAAAAATGTAAAAATAATGTACCGTGGCATGGCTTGCTCTCAAATAAAATAATCGACAATAATATTGCATATAAATGCCAACAACAAATACAATGACAAAAAAAAAACAAACGAACGCAAACGAAATGCTTCGCGTACGCAGTGTGGCGCTATTGAGCATTATTACTATCATTATCAACAACAACAACCAGCAAAACAACAACAATACGATCACTACCATCATCACTACGAATATGAGCATCATCACCATCACCAAGAACACCATCATCACCAAGAACACGAGCATTCGCCCCCATCACCGCTTTGTTCTTATGAATTCGGTAAGATCAAAGCGTTTCGTGATCCTTGGGAAGATTACTATGAGAACTTAGCCAGAGATCATAGTGACAGTGAGCAAAATAATGAAGCAAATACGCAAAGTGAGCAATCACAACAAAACCATCACGAGCAAGAATGGCAGCTATCAGCACCAGAGCCAGCACCCACGCCTGAATGGCAAAGCAGCGATGTAGAACAGCAGCATAGTGATGAGGGACTGAGAGTTGAGTGGTCACAGGAATACAATGAGGCTCATTATAACCAACAAGAGGCTTGGGTTGAAGACACACAACCACAGCAACAACAAGAACAACAAGACTATCACCATGAACAACAAGAAAAGCCAATAGAACAATATCACAGCCATGGGTCTCATGAATCCCATATGCAATATGAGTGCCCAGCACCAAGTACAAATTCTTCAACTAGCAATTTCGATGCCAATGAGAATGTTGAAATGCCAGCAGAGAATCAAAAAAAAAAAAATTATGAAGCTGAAGTTCATAACGAAAACACTGCCAAAAAACCAAAAGACTTAACATCTGTAACGCCATCAAGGAATACAGATGCTACAGCGAATATAAATACCGTTAGCGGTAGTAGGTCTAGTACAGATAAGCAAGCATGCCGTAGTGAGGAAGAGAATGAAACAAAAGAAAGAGAAAACAAAAACAAAGACAAAAATGAAAATAAAAACGATGAGGTAAAGTGACGTGACACGATTGTATGAAAAAGTAAAGTATTTCGTAGTAGAGTCATAAATGGGGTTTTCAGTAGATTGTTTGTAAATAAATTTGCGACGTTGTTTGAAACATCGGAAAAAAGATATTTTGTGTAGTTGTATTAGAACAAAAAAAAAAATTACATGAGCATGTCATAATCTTTGGCTTAGGTGGATTTTAATTGCATACTTGGAGACTTTTGCAACTTAGACCTAGAGCACAAACGGGCCATAAATCGGATAATTTATTTAGTTTTACATATACAAAAAATTATACTTTCATTTGTTTTATGCCGTCTTATGTCAAAGATCATGTCATGCCATTAAAAGTTATCAAAAATTGTATTCTGAATCATTTTGCATTTCGTCATTAGTGATGTCATAAGTCGTGTCATTGTCAATCTCCACGTCATAGTCATCGTCAGTAGTCATGTCATTGTCATACAAATTTTAAAGCCAATAGTCATGTCATTGTCATAAAGCTTGTCAAGTCAGTAGTCATGTCCACAGTGATCTTGTCAAATGTTGTATTCTAAGTAAATTGGATTGTCATAAAAGCTCATTATATTTTATAGTTCAAGGTCATCTCACTTAGCTCATGCATATTTTTGTAATACATCGTGTTCTCGTCACATTATTTCATTTGTTTATATTTTCGAACACAATTCATCAACATCAATACATGCGAAATTTTTATTTCTGTACATACTTATTTATTCACACAAGTAAGGTCTTTAAGTCTTGGGCTTCATATAAGACTGGCTTACTTTCGTGCATAGGTTTCTGCTACTAATTTAATGGTGCTATGATAGTTTCTTCCATCGGTGATAGTAAATTCCCTTTTGCAACCAGAAGTTATCACTTTAACCAGAGTTGATTGATGACCTTCTCCAAAAAGACCAGAGATTGGCTACAGTTTCGAAATAAGGCCAGTTAAGCATTTTTCAGCAATTAAAAAAGCCTGCATTACGCCTCAGTAGAATTTGAATTGCGATCAAAGGAAATGGTCTAAATCTCCATATTTTCCAGATAATAAATGGCCGGCCAGTCAAACCCTTTATGGATTTGCTTTTGTAAAAGGTAGCTTAAACGGTCGCAGAATTAATCTATTTATGTAAGGTTGTATATTCATATTGGTTATTAAAGCGCTTTGGTAACTTTTATGCGGAAACTTGGTAGGGAAATTATTTTTGATGTGACAACACTTGGGCTTATCACAATATTTAGCCTAAGTGAGTATATAAAAATAGCCAGCAACAGCTGAGCTAAATTTCGTACTCAGAACACCACTACTGTCAGATTTTTGGCCGTGGATGAAATCGCTACGCTCAAGTGTGGTCACGAAAAATCTGTAATTGAATAGAAGCCTAAGCATCAGAAGCGCTAAATGAGATCGGTTATATATGGAAGAAAAAAAATTATTTGGGAAAGAGTTGCATATTTTTAGGCACACGAGAAAATTCATTAGCGATTTTTGTTGAAACTTTGGCCCTATTCCCACGATAATGACAAAGTTCATCACATAAAAATTGCTTTAATTACGAAGAGTTTGCCGTAAACACTTAAGCGTCGAAATAATTATAATTTTCTATGTTATTGTTATGAACTATTGAGTACGTGACAATGACGAAATAACGCTTATATTCGGCGTCAAAGTTTTAGACGCTGCAGTTATAGCAATTGTTATGCGCTGAGCATAGCAATTTCAGGATGTGGATGCGGATTCGAGTTTTCTCATCTTTTGTTGTAGATTTATTTTATTAAAACATAGTCTTAGGTCTACTCTCAATAGGGTATTAAATTGGAATATACAATAATCAGCTTCTGGCTTTGGGTCTATAAGTACGCATTGGTGAATGAGCCCGAAATGCATGTTAAGAAATTCCATATTAGCATATTGGATCTGAGCAAAATTTTCGCACATATAACCAATTAATTAGTTAAGCTTTATGATGAGATAGCACACTCCTAGCCATGTTATGCATACATATGCACATAGTTACTTATTATAATAATACATATTTTCATTTTTGGTTCACATTTCGTTTACACATTTCAAGAACCAATTTTCGCACTTAAGTAGGTTTCGCACAAAGATTTTTTTCTAGAAATAAAACACACCTAATCAAGCAGGGTAATCTTCCCAAGGTAAATGAGACGGACCGCTTTGGTGTTAAGGGAACTTAAAATAATTGATAAAATCGAATAATAAAAACCACTTATAGATAAACGTTAAAAGAACACTAAAACAAATATATGTCTTACAAAAAATATACGTTTAGTCCATTCCTAAATATTTGTCCCGCACGTTTATGTTTGAAGCTAATTGTTCTATGTTGCCTGAATACTAACCAAGATCGTCAATATGTTTTATTTAATATGCACATTGTTTTATGTTAAATATTAAATGTACATAGCATGGATTGGTCAAAAAGTAGTTGCCGACTTATAAAAATAACGTTAACTACATCTATGCTAAATATATACATACCTTTCATTTTTGGAACAAGCTGGCAACTATTTTTTGACCAAAAGTTGTAAATATATACATATGTAAATACATACGAGTACCTACGAAACCTAGAAATTACATAAACCTTTTAAATTGCCAAAAAAAAAACTAACATTTTCCATTTTCCGCTCACTCTCCAGGCTGGTTTGGCTGGCGCTCTATCACAATTGCGCCTCGGCGAGCAACGCACTCCCGAACAGGAAGCCTACGAACAGCTAATGCGTCGTCAATGCTGGGAGGCCGGACAAATCGATTATGCGGGCAAAGATTCCTTTGACAATATTTGGAAAAAAATAACGCAAACATTGGAATCGAAGCCGAGCGCATCGCCGCCAAAGGAGGAGGACAAGTCTGGTACTTCATAAAAGTTTATAAATTAAAAAAAAAAAAAAACTATATACTATATATCAAAAAAAACAACATTAACATTTGAAAGAATACAGACGTCCTCCACATGATATTCATACAAAGAAACATTAATTGAAAAAAAATATATATATAGAAAGAAAAAAGAACACATTAATACAAGCATCCTTTATTTAAAGTAAGGCAAAGAGTTTTGCTCCAAAAACAAGCACAATGAACAAATTGTTTGCACACACACCAAAGCATACGCAAACACACACATAGATATTTTTGTAGAGAGACACACACACACACACGGCAAAGTGTATTTTTTTTTTTAGGACATAAACTTTATTAATTTTTACATACGTTTTAATTTATCTTTTATATTAAATGCTAATGCCAAAATATGTCTTGCAAGTTTTTACCACTTAAGATAAATTTAAATACTCATACAAACATATTTGCCATATACATTGCACAAATATCATTGCAATTGTTATATAACGACCGCAATTTATTAATCTATTATATCACTTATTCATACGATTTTTGATTTTTTTTTTTTCAAGTTCATCAATTGCATATCTACATAAATATTTGTTACATTTATTTGAGCATTTTTTTTCAACATCTATTGTGACGTGTTTGTTGCTCTCAAAAGTCATACTTTAATATAAATATAAAAAATAAAACTGACTATTTTGTAAGTCTTCTTTTGTATTTTTAATAAAAGTTGCGAATTTCATTTAATTATTTGTTTCAAATTCTATGTACATGTGTGCGTGTGTGTGTGTTTTTGGCGTGCCTACGTACATATTTCCTAAAAAAAATAAATAATAAACACTCGCATATCTTCACTTTCCTAGCTAACAATATTCTACTTAAATAAAAAAGTTCAAATGAAAAAAAAATAAATAAAAAAAATTGCATAATTAAAGATGTTATATTTTTTGAATAAAATTTATTTGTACTACAAAATAAACAAAACTTATCAAACTCATGTGGTTTTTTATTTCATTAATTGTTCTACATAAGTACACACATAAATACTTTGTGTACATATGTATGTACATAGTTTTATGTTATTTACTTTTTATATGTTTTATGTATATTAATTTGTTTGTCTTTATTTTCAGCACAAATTACTCTTCCTGTGTTTTGTGTAACACCTAGAACATACATACGTATTTGTATTTATGTATCACCAGCGTTTAGCATATATAATTTATGTACATATGTTCAATTTTGAAACTTTTATTTTTTGGCAGACATTTGTTATCCTGCTTGGGGATTCTCTGATTATTGGTTCGATTCTATTTTTTTAACCAACTGGTAAATTTTTGGCACTTATACGCACCTAAATTGTGTTATTAAGTGTGCCTATTTTCTAATAACTTTGGTCTTAATTGCTTTTAGTATCTATGTCTACAACTTTCAAAGGTATATGGGTGAAAATTTTTCAACTGGACCTCGGATTTCAGTCAAGTTTGAATTTTTGCGTGAAAATTTGTGGGTAGAGATTTTTATAAACTTGAAAGGGATTCTGAGTATTTATTTTTAAAAATTTTAATTTTTAAAGTTTTTATAAGCAAATATATTTTTAAGCAATCTTTTTTCAAAACATATTTTCTAGTAAAGTATTAGACGAAAGTTGATGAAAGTTTTTTGTAAGCGTAGTGACATTAGAGCTTTAAAAAAATATATATTTTTTATAATTTAGAAAAAAAAAATAAATTTTTAAATTTCAATAATATAAATATTCAAGTTGCATTAAAAATATGTACTAAATAAGTGTCTTCCATTTTGTTTGTATTTTCGAAAACTGCACTTATTGAAAAAAATACATATTTATAAAAAATAGTTGTTAGATCTTTTCTGTTTTTGACTTATAGCAACCCAAAAAAAATGGAATTAATGGGATTATTTTAACATATGTCTCCGATGCAAAACTTAACCTAAAAATGCCTTAAAAATACCACAAATGCTATCATTATTATATAAGGTTATGTTAAAAGTCGCAAATATGCGCCAATTGTTAGTTGCTCCTGTACGCGCTTTCTAGCGAACACGTTGCGCGCATAGGCTTGTGGCAAATGTTGCTGTAAGTAATAAACAGAATAAATGCAGTTTTCGAAAATATAAAAGAAATGGAAAACACTTATTGAGAACATATTTTTAATTCAACTTGAATATTTATAATGTTAAGACTTCGTAAAAAAAGCAGATATATCTTAATAACTTTTCAAGTATGCCGTAACTAAAACCCTACTGGGCTCAGTTCTAAAGACCACTGTCAAAGACAGGTCGCATTCGAAAATAGCCAAATCAGTAGTAAGGCAGTAACTTGGTCAAGCAACTGCTAAGTAAAGGAGAGGATACTCACACAACTTTTTCTCTCGTTTGCACCAATTCATGCCATGCATAGCTACATCTACAACGTTCTATGCAGGCCGACGATTTTCATACTCCTCCGTATCTGGGAAACATTCATTTTAAAGTTGTCGCATTTTCTTTAGGCACAGCAGAATATACATAAGTATGTTATTCTGTCTTTGATTGAGTTTTTAAATTTGTTGCAAAAATCTTGAGAAAGTAAAATAAAATTTAAGTAATATTTTATAGAATTTGATGAGTTTTGTATTGGTCCTCATGTTCATAATGTGTGTACGTCCTTACCTATACATACTATATGATATGTGGTATAAACTTCACTTTGTACGAAAATCCTTGATTTGTAATACATTTTGATATTATTTATAATTTCTGAATATGTTTAGTGTATCATCTGTTTTTTAACGCTCTTATTAAGGCTAAGATTTCGTCATCGCCATTTGCTCATCGATCATCCAACCACCAATCGCAACGATCACCAAGTAAACCAAATCATTTTCAAACGAAGATGTTTTACAGTGAAGCAGCACAGAACATTTGTAACTTTATTGGTTGCCATTTCTCTTATTTTCAGCTATACAACATTTTGAAAATCCAATGCCTCCTAACAACTTTATCCCTTTAAACATAGGTGGCGGTCATGCGCCTACAGAGGAGACTGAATCGGAACGCTTAGAACGCATTAATCGCTTATTAAAAGCAAGCGCTGCCGCTTTAGAAGAGCAAAACGCAGAAAAACTACAACCGCGCCCATTGTTGGCGGTGTCGGCGAGTACTAACACGGCTTCAGTGACACGCAGTAGATCGCCAGCTACTAACAACAACAATAACATTAGTAGTAATAACAATAATAATACTAACGTGCAAAGGGCGCTGAAGAGAACGGCGTCACCAAGACCGGTACAGAGACAAATACAACAGCCGCCGCAGTTACCCCAGCAGCCACAGCAACAGAAACCACAACCACAACCACAACCACAACCACAACAACAAACCTTAACGAGACACACCTTCCTAGAGCAACAAGGAATAGTACAGAAAGAGGTCACACAACCCAACCAACAAAGTCCCGAACTAACAAAACAGCCCCTTCAACCACCCATACAGACACAACCATCGTTGCAGACACAACAACAGCAACAGCAACCGGTACAACAACAACCACGCAGACAAACACCACAACAACAACCGAACACACAGCAGCCACAACGTCCATTGCGACAATCTCAGTTGCAACAACAACAACAACCACATACTTCACAACAGTCGCAAGCTCCATCCGTACCCGCCAGGCATATTTCCACCAAATCGAACCGTAAATCCAAATAACAATTACTCAAATTGGTGACGCGCTACGGTTGCCTGCTGCCCGCTTGCATTCTTGAAGAGGTGGCGGGCGTGCGGCTGCCGCATCCAGTACATGTATGAGTACAAAAGAAGAGTCCCTTTGAATTACCGAATTCATAGTTGTTTTTGGAAATTTTTTACCCTAAGAACAAAAAAAAATCGATCATTTGAAAGTTTTTTGTACGGCAATTGAAAGACAGTGGGCAATATGGTTTGAAAGATTTTTCTTTATTCTGGCACGAAAGTCACGTAAAAAAAATTTTTTTTTTTAATTTTTTTAATTATATATTTTTTGCTTAGTTTTCTTTCCATTTTTAGGTTTTTGTTGTTCTAAAAAGAGAAGTATGTTTACTGAATTTGATTTCTATAAACTTATTTTATTTTAATTTACTGTTTTTAATGTAAATTTTGGATTTAATAGTTTTAAAAAGAAAGCATTTTTTTTAATTTTATTTGATTTTTAGAAAAATATACGTACACAATTTTTTCTTGTTTTTTTAATTTTCTTTGATTTAATTTTATTTTGCTTTCTACATTTTTTAAATATATATTTTAGTTAAATTTAATTTTTAGAAACTTATTTTATTTTGCTATTTGTTTTTTTTTTTTATTTTTGAATTAAAATTTAAGATTCTATCGATTTATAAAGAAAAATATGTGGTGTTTTTAATTTAATTTAATTTTTTCTTATTCTCTCAATATTTTGTTTTCTCTTTTTAATTCAGTTTGTTTTTTTGTAGATTTTTTTATTCTAAGAAAATAAATATATTTGTTCTTCATTTAAGTTTTAGGATTTTTGTTTTTACTTTTAAGTTTATTTGTTTTTTACTTTTAGATAAGAAAAGAAAAGTGCTTTTAAATTTATTTTAGTTCTCAGAAACTGATTTATTTATTTTTTTTAATTTTATTTATGTTGTAAGTACTATGTAATTTATTTTCTTCTTGGTTTCAGTTATTATTTTTTCTCTTTTAATCTTATTTTGTTTTCATTTGTAGTTTTCATTGTTAAAAACATTTTTTTTTAATAGCCTTTATTTTCTATATTTTTTTTGTATTTTTTTTTTTTGTTTTTTAAGAAAAATATGTTCATACATTCATATTGTGTATTTCTTAATCATACCTAATTTTTAGAAGACTTAAGACGCTAAGACCTCCTCTTTCGAAATACAGAAAAGAGATTTCAAGATAAAAAGTTTGATAGAATAGAAAATTTTCTTAGGAAAAACTTTCACTTTTCGAAAAACTGTGGTGAGTCTCAAAACGGTCGCCAGAATTGGCCTGTTAATGAATTAAAAAAAAAAAAAAAAAAACAATACATATACAAACAAGCATACATATTCACTTTTTCGCTTTGTAAATAGAGCGATAAATCGAGTAGGGGAGGGAGGGTTTGCTGTGCTCAGACTTCGCCGTAAAGTGCTTTATTGAACGAAACTAAGGCTTTGAAATGCAAACTTAGTACTTACAGTTAGCTGAATAAGACGCTTATTACTAAAGAACTATAATTCGACTAACTACGCGAAACTACAAACTAACACACAAGAAACAATCCACCGAATATATTTTACTCACACTCACTTCTTTTCTTCACACACGACAACTCAACTCAACTAAACAAAAAAAAAAAAAACACAAAAAATGCTCCACATGCACCACCACCCAACCATGACAAACCCATCACACAGAACTCTTGACTTCTGCTGACATCGAAGACGGTAAGGTCGAGGTCGATCCCGTCACCAAGGCCCGCACCGAATACAAAGTTATCGATGGCGGTTATGAAGTACGCACCATCACCCCTCAGCCAAATGGCACTTTGAAGACCTCTGTACGCACTTTCTGGGATCCCAAGCCCGTCAGCGAGGAGGATAGGAAGCGTGAGGCGCAAAGTAAGTTGGAAATTCGCAAGCGTTTCGGCAAGGAGATCCGCATTGACAGTAAGACCACCATGTTGACGCGTGAGATCGAAGGTGGTTACGAGGAGGTGTACACTATCGTCAATGAGGATGGCACACGCAGCACGCGCACCAAAACCTTCTTCGACTCTGTGCCTACTGAAATACCCGATAATGCTCCTGCAGCGGATAAGAATAAGAAGAAGACCTTGGTGAAGAAGTCTTCGGTGGACTCCACTGACTCAACCGAATCGCGCCGCATTGTACAACGCACCGATCAACAGCAGGGTAACTTCAAACAGCAAACCACTGTGGAGGAGTCGCGTCGCTTTACGCAGAGCAGTGAGGTAACGGAGAACAACCGCACTGTACGCAAAAATTCGGTTCAAGAACAGAACATTAAGCAGATCACCTCATCGAGCGGTGGTGTTGAGGCGATCAAGGACAAGAAGAAGAAGAAGACCAAGTCAAACATCCCACCACCACCACCAGACTTCATCGAAAATGATACGACTACGGTGACTTCGAAGCGTGTACCACATGGCGTGGAATACACTTACTCTACTAAATTGGAATCAGGCAAAACTATTACCACTTCGAAGACTGTCTACGAAGAAGAGGAGGCGGAGCTGACTGAAGAAGAGATTCGTGCTTACAAGAAAACTTTGAAAGATGCTGAGAAACATAAGAACGTCACCTCAACGAAGAAGCTCAAGTCCGAATCGGGCACAAAGAAAATTGTACCATCTGAGAATCCCGGCGATGTGACCACCGTCGAGACCATTAAAATCGAAGGTGGCACCGAATATCACTACACCACCGTCACCGCTGAGGGTATTGTGAAGAAGGCGGTTAAGACCGTTTACGATCCGGTGGCGAGCCAAGCTGGCGAAGAGAGTGAGGAAGAGATTGTAGAAGAGTATGAGGAGGAGATTATCGAGCCGGGTGAGAAGAATATTCGCACCATTGAGACTGTGAAGAGTTTGCCTAAAAAGTTCGAAGGTGAGCGTGTTTTAATTGATTTTTTTTTTTTTGTTTTATTTTCATTGACGTTAAATGCCTTTTTTTACATTTCTTAACAGAGGAAGTCACCGTCACCCATGAGAAGACCGAGAAAAAGGTAAAGAAGTCCATGATGATCAGCCACTAAAAAGCTTATTGCTGAAGCGCTTTGCTACAAACGGATAGAAAAATGCGGCGCGTAAGATTCGTAGAGGATGCCTATCATTTTAATATGAAACACAGACACACACACACACACACAAAAAAAAAATCACTCTCAAAAATTTAAAACACCAACACAAACATATAAACATACGCACGCTCGCATATCAACATCAAAAACATAATCAAGCACTTGTTTGTAACATCACATTAATACAATGCAAAAAAAAAGCAAATTTCGTAGTTAAAATTTTGAGCAAAAAAATTTATAAAAAAAATTAAGATTAAGAAATTTTTCACTAAATCTTTGGTTTCGAACAAAATTATACGCACACAAATTCTTTCGCATCATTTTCACATTTCAGAGACCGGTTGTATCAATTGTTGCCGGCTTTATACAAATTTTCGTAAGCCTTGCTCTAAATTATTTCACTAGCTATCTCGTTCCTTAATCAACTTTGCTGAAAATGCAGAACAGTTTTTATATTTTGTACTTAAATTAAATATCTATTTTATTGTAATTTTATTGTCAAACGAAAGTAAATTCATTTGTATTAATAAAGAGTTGTTGGATTTGAAGAAAGCTTTTGATATGAAGAATTTATTTTTAACAAAATCGAATTGAGGTAAGTAAAAAGTGGGGCAAAGAATTTTAATTGGAGCAGAGCTGCATCAAAGAGCTAAAAACATCACTTGCTGCGTGTTTTATTATTTTTTTTTTTATATTATTGCCATTTTAAATAAATTTATATTCGATTTATTTTACTTGGCACTGCACAATAATCAGCTGTCAGGGATATTTGCGAAGACTTAAGATCTCTAAGTTTATTCATAAGACAAAACACATATCGTCGCATGGATAAAATATTGTCGTACTTTAGGCTCTTTTGGGAAATAGCCATTGAAGTTTGGAATGCTATTTCTGAAAAACGCAAGGAAAGATTTTCTCCTAATTTTCGGAGAATGTTACTAGTTGGCGAAATTATCGATGCGTAAATAAGCAAGGAATGAATGGTCAATTGAAAGTGCGCAAGAATTTTTTGTATGAAATATGAGCAGAAAAAACTGCTACTCAGGTGTGCATGGCGTATGCGTAACATTCTTTCCTGCTCATTTTGCATACAAAGCATCTTTGTGCATTTTCATTTGACCACTCCTCCTTCCTTCTTTATTTATACATCTCTTTTGTCCATTAGTAGCTTGATTTTTTTGCAATAGAACAGGCTTTAACACAAATGGCCTATCGAAAAGTGATATGCCTGATTAAGTTGAACCACTCTTTCTTTTAAGCTGAATAACGGTGAACTGAAAATATAACTTATCCATAGCTTCCGTAGTCATGTATTTCTGCAAACTACCGTTACATGGGAGATACCTACATATCTCGATTCCTTTAGACTATTACAAACAACCGTTATGTGAGCATTATGTCCTCTGTGGATTTTAGAAATAAAAGTAAGTAATTTCGTTAAAAAATGGAATATCGAAAAAATTAATACTTTTTGGTTTTTGGTTTTATGGAATTTTCTTGTAGATTTTCAACCGAGAAATTCAAATTTATTGTCAAAAAATGACTAGGAAATCTTTAAGATGCTCAAGTTTAAATTACAAAGTTGCATTTAAATTTTAAACTTTTTAATCAGACTTTTGAGCATGCAATTTTCTAACCCATCGAATTCCAATTTCGTAAACTTTTGCCAATTTGTTTTTTTAACGCATTTCCTTCTATACAAAGTAAATTCCACAATTTTAATACAGTTCGAAGAAAAGTTATCAAAAGTCAACGCGATTATTTAGCAACCATAAAACTTGCACTTTATTGTACTCGAATTCAATAGCCGAAAAAACTGCATACTCGAAACTCTGGAAAATCTTATTAAAAAGTTGAAAATTTATATGCAACTTTGCAATTTTTGTTGCAGCCAGCCAGCAAAGTAATCATTTTCTTCGAAATTTCATTTTTTATCGAAATTTTTTGAGGGTTGAATATAATGTTTATACATATAATGACACTATTTTTCCTTCGGCAGGCAAATGGCAAACCTACGAGAGTATTTCTGTCTCGAAAAAGCTTATCATAAAAATTCATTTGAAATTTGTGTGCTTACATAAGTCCATATGTAAGGATGGAGAGTACATAAACGCTTGACTAGGTCAATCAGTCAATTTTTATTTACGAAAATTGCAAATGCTTTTATTTACTCGCATACACTCAGCACGTGTATAGCAGTACACCTGCACAAACATGGCTATTTTTGTAGATGTATGTGTGTGCTTGTAAGCAATTTATTGAATAATTCAACGGCAATTCATTTCAAAAAAAAAAACATTCCAATGACGCTTGCAAAAATTACTTGCCCCATATAGCAGCGGATAAAAGGAACAGTCCAGCGCCTTCGTCTTAGTCTGCAGGCTGTATCGGAGATACACCCGCTAAATTTAAACGTAGAATACGAGGTATGGTTAGGAGCATATCCAAGTCAAAAACGAAAGCACAAACTAAGAAAAAAATATCGATAACAAAAGCGATAATAAAATCGATAACAAAATCGATAAAAATATCGATAACAAAATCGTTAACTAAATCGATTACAAAATCGATAAAAAATCGATTACAAAATCTATCGAAAAATCGATTACAAAATCGATAACAAAATCGATTCCAAAGTCAATAACAAAATTGATAACAAAATCTATCAAAAAATCCATTACAA